AATTTACAACCGAATGCAAAATTTGATGCTTTGCCAGCCAAAAGCCCATATTTCAATCTTCAGCAACACACCAATTACGTTTGCTGTTGAATTGTGCGCAAATGCTTGAAAAGTCGTTAGTGAAGCGCAGGAAAATTGTAAATATGGAAAGAAAAACGTGGAATAATGGCAAATTTTAAGCACGAAAATGTGGTCATGGTCAAAAGTAGAGCCCAATCAGCCGTTGAACACAATGCTGAAATTTGTTAGCGCTGCACATTTTTAATGAGCAGCTTTCTAAGGTCATTGTGGCATTCATTAGAAAAATATGCAAGCAGCGCTGATTGATTGAAGAGGTATGTCCTCTCCGCCAGTTTCTGCATACAAATGCAGCGAAGCGGATGGGACTTCTGCTGCTGCTCCAACCCCAGCTCCAGCTGCCATTAATTGCGCCTGAGCGCTCAAATAAATTTGCTTAATCAAACTATTTAGGCGCTATGGCTGTCACGGAAGTGCGCAAGTCAAGCTGACATTGCCATTTCCATTACGGGGAGGCACATTTCGACGAGCAAACGACACCAAACGCACACGCACGGCTTACAGGCCCAAGCTTTTAGGCCCTGGGCGGACGACACCCATAATCCAAATTAATTGCCGGCATCGGGTGTGTTGTAATGCAGCGGCACCGGCAGCATCAGAAGCATCGGCAGCCTCTGGCAGGTGTACGTGAGCACTTCGTGCGCGCCATTTAGTCGTTGAGTACGTTGTGTGGCATGCAACTAGGCGCTGATTCAGCTGCTGGTGCTGCTTTTGCTCTTGCCGTTCATTGCGTTTCATGCCACTACGCCATTATTTCCTTTTGATTTGCTTTGGCTGCAAAAGTCGTGACGGGTGGCGTAAGCGTCGGGTGGCGACGCATTTCATGCAGTTCGCTGGGCTTTCGAGCTGCTCAACGCTTGATGCTTTGATGTTCGAGCAGACGTTGGGTGCGTGCATATGGCGGCGGTGGAATTATGCATGTACACATACATCAATATGCACATGTATTATATAGTATGCTTGTGCTTGCATACAATTTAATTCTTGGCTAGATTCGCGCACGGAACTGGTGTCGCCGAGCGTGAGATGTCCTGAGCCTTTAATATGAAGGTGTAGCCTTGCAACATAATGCAGGAATAATAAAAGCTCTCTAAGCAACAACAGATTGATCATGTAAGACATTAACAATAAACCTATTTAGTTAAACGGTAAAAATATTTGCACAAAAGCAAAAATTGGACAATTCTGAGCATTAACTGATTTGATTTAAGAATTAGAGGATGTTAAGTATGCTAATAAAATAGCAGATCACTTTCCAAGAAAAGTATTATTTGCTTAAATAGCTTTTACTTTTGAGCAACAAAAATTGGTGCCAATGATTTAAAAAAGATACACTTATGAGCTAATAAATCAAAAATTGGTAATAATCCAAATTCAATCTAAATATTTATATCAGCTATTCGAAAAGCAGCTATTTTTCTGGCACTGATGCAATGCTGCTTGAACACAATTCGTAGATTTCGTTTTGGCTTCGTGCTTAAAGTCACGATATTATTGCTGCAAATTGTACAATATTTGCATATGTAAAACATATTTTTACATTTTTTTCCTTAAAGAAAAACATGGACAATGTTAAACCCAGAACAGATTTCAGCATTGTATTTAATTTATTGAACGGTATGTGCCTTTGCTCACATTTAAATCATAAAAGAACCATCTACAAACCAAACAGCAAACCTAAACAAACCACAGTAGAAAAATGGCAAAAGTTTCTCCACTTAAAAAGGAGTAAAGGCAACTTCGAAACCAATGGAAAAGATTGAGTAAGCGAGAGAACATTAAAAACGCCGCAATAATCGAAGTCGAACGTCAATGGCTGCTTTGTGGCGCCTGAAGCGATGCGTCTGAGCCGCTCAGCCCCCTCTTGCTCATTTGCTTTGAGCTTTGCGTTCGTTGGTGGTAAGAAAAAGGTTAGAAGAAGATGCTTTGCGGCGGAAAGTAAGAGGCAGGAGGCAAGAGTTAGGCAGCAAACGGCGATGGCAAGCAGCTGCCACCCCTAAAAAGTATGCAACACAATTTTAATTAGTTTTGAAAAGTATTTTAATTTTTGCAATTTGTGTGCCACACGGCAATGCTACCCAAGGCAGAGGCAGAAATCTTTGCAAAGCAATTTTTATTTGCCTCTCTCCCCCCCCCCCCCCCCCAAGCACCGACCGCAGTGGCCCCTCAATGCCGAAGCTTCTATAATTTTGCACTTTAATGATTATTAACATTATTAGTTGTAATGAGCTTCGTCAGCGCGCTTTAAAGTTTGTTGCCATTGAAGATTGACGGGAAGAAATTGCAGCAAAATTTTGCGCTATTCAAAGCATGAATGCGTAAAACAAAAGGAAAGCCAAAAAATCAAAATAAAAACACAAAAAAAAAAACAAATTAAAAAAATTCAAACGCAGAGAAAGTTTAAAAAGTTGTGAGAAATTTTTGCAATTATTTTTCTGTTTTAATGTAATAGTGGCGCTTTCAAACAAAAACTTTGTTCAAACTATGCGAACGAGTTGAATGGTTGACTCTGGCCGACTGTCCGTCCCCCCGTCTTCCCGCCTGGCTGGCTGGCTGGGTAGCTGGGTAGCTGGCTGGTCGGTTATAGCCAGTTTAGCGGTTGCGTCAAGCATGCTAAAAAGTATGCTTTGATTTCTGCGTTCGCCGTTTGACGTTCGGTCTGGCCATTGCGTGGAATTTTGTGTGTGTTCGAATTGTTTGTGTTTGGGTTTTGTGGGCTTTGGCTATACATTTTTTCCGATTTGTTTTGCTATTGTCTTCTTTTTTGCATTTTAAACAAACTAAAAGTTTTCAAATTAAAGGCACAAGTTTGGCCAAAAGCGTTCTTTTTTCTGGGTTACTTTGGTTTGGCGGCATTTTGTTGGGGTTATTGAAATAATGAGTGGTTAGCCGTAAACTTACTTGCGATTCAAGGCATTCAACTTACCTGCAATGAAGAGAATGAAATATTTATAGTTGATTAATATTTATTGTATACATATTATGCTAAAATTAATGTTATTCCACAAATATTTTATACAAATATCGTAAACATTCGTTATAGCCCCAATTTGGCGTACAATGTACATATGCAGCAAATTGATTGGCTCATTTTAATTATATTTGAGATATTTAGGCCCTATCTTTTACAATTCTATCGACGTACAAAGCAGAAGGATGTACGTTGCTTTTAACTTTAAAGAGTACACACAATATGAGCATAAAATACTACTTGCTATTATTATTATTATTATTATTTTTTTTTTATGTTTCGCTTGGCATATGAATATTTGGTATCAATTAATCGAGAGTAAAAATGGCAATTAATTAATATTAAGCAAATATTATTTCGATTCAAGGGGCAGGCAACTTCCTTTAAATGATTTGATTTGGCAGAGACACTTTCTAAAGATGCTTCTGCTTAAAATTCATTTGCAATAACTTATTAGCTTGTTTTTGGAAACACACTTCAAGCAGCAGTGAAAATTATAGTTACACCTACTTATTCCGGCCTCGTACTTGTCTACTACGCAACAAAATCAGACTAATTTAAAGCTTGAATTCCAGTGCTGCCGTTGGCAACAGCAGACAACACATGACTAGAAGCTATCGCGCCCAGCCACATGAGCAGGCATACAGCAGAGAACTTAATTACACACAACTCATTTGTCGCACACAAAAACAACTCCCTGGACGCATATACATATATAAACATGTATGGGTGTGTGTGGCATCCGGTCTGGTCGCATGGGACACTGAGACTGAGCAGTTGCCGCCTCTGTTTGAAATAGAAAACCAAAAACGAGACAGCGGCGACAATGACGACGTTCTAAACACTGACGACATATGACATAGACCAGTGGCAGCAGAAACAGCAGCCAGTCAGGCGTAGAACTAATGCAGACTTTTGTTTATATGTCATAAAAATTACTCATTCGTTAATAATTTAAACTGATGGCTGTTGATGATGGCCATTCGTAAACTTGTTCTGCCCATACAACACATATGTCTGTTGTGGTCGTTGGGTATCGTCTGGAGGCTTGGCTATGGATTTGTTTTGGGTGCACAAACATGAAATCAATACGAAATGAAAACCAAATACGAAAACTGCTTGTCTACCTAAATACACAATGCGAGACACTATGACACAGGGATTTAGCACCACCTCAAGTTATTTACTTTGTGCCTGATAACTTTCATTATCGTGGCATGAAATTCATAACCCGAAGCCAAATACAGCAGAAAGATCTGGACCGAGAAAGAGATGTAGGCCGTCTGTGACGGTAAATTCATTATTGCATCAATAAAACAATGCTACAATCAATATTTTGGCATATTAATAACATTCAATATAGACATGTGCACAGCGAAAAATAAATATAAATATTCCCAATAAGCGAGAGTCTCTATTTCATAGATGATTCTCCAGGAATCGACTAGTCATAAACATCTATTGAATATTTGACACTCTATTTGCAGCATCGATGTTCAAATACTCTTGGCAACAATATGATTTAAATTATATTCTTTATCATTACTGAGTCGGATTCGTTATTATATACATTTGTAATATCCATATGCTTTTTAATTCTCTAGTTATACTCTGTACATAAAATGTACAAGAGTATATTAGGTTTGCGGGAGCGGAAAATGTTAAAGGCAGAAGGAGGCGTGGCAGACCCCACATGGTATATATATTCTTGATCAGCATGATGAGACGAGTCGATCTAGTCCTGTCTGTCTGTCCGTCTGTCCATATGAACACCTGGATCTCAGAGACTATAAGAGCTAGATAGACGAACCAGCGGGTTCCGATAAATTACCATTTTGCAAAAAACGAGACTCTATAAAATAATTTAGGTACATTTTTCCTGTACACCATTACGTCCATCCACTTCTTTTATTTTAAAAAATCGTATAAAATGATTTTTTATTTTGTCTAATCTAAAAGAATACATATATAGTGATCGAAAAAATTTAGAATACAACCGACGCTGAGTCACTAATGAGACCAGGTGGCCGGTTCAACAAGCAGCAGTTGCGACAATTCTCGGAGCAGTCGACACTGCCGCTCGCAGATCAGTTGAAAGCATCCCAATGACGATACACCATGCAGATCGATGCGATGGGGTAGCGGTAGGTGTAATTCGGGTTCGGCATTGATATTGGTATTGGCATCGCTGCAGATTGTGGAGTGCAGCGACAGAATGCCATTGCTGCGCAGTAATTCATTCGGACTGTTCGACCCCTCTGCAATGCTGGGCCACATCATTGGCAATCGCTGTCTGTCTGGATCGCCAATGATGTGACCCCCCATGCAGCTGGGTGGGAGCAGGCCGATGTGAGGCCACGCAATATTGGTATCGTGCCGCTGCTGAAGTTGCGCCCATTTCGAATACATCCAGTTCAAGAGGTCGCTGACTGTGACATACAACAACAACGAATTGCTGAGTCTGGCACGTAGCAGCTCCGGCATAAGCCGCTTCAAGTTGTATGCCGAATCTGCAAATCGATGGGCGTCTGACTTGGGTGCCTTATCCTTTGTGGTTTTGGTGGTGTCTGAATTTTTTCTTCGGGTCACTTCTGGGTTATCCAAAAATATGGCTGTGTTTCTTAGCTGATAAATTTCGGCTAGCGCCAGACTGTTGCGCAAGTCAAGCAAATATGAGTTATTGGGCAGGCGTTGTATCAGGTCCGCGCCATCGACTCCTATAATGGTTTCCTTATGGAACGCCAACGGTAATTGAAACAATTCATGTATATAGTCAGCTTCAGTGACCAGCGTAGTAAACTTTGTTTCTGGCCAGTCCTTGAGTTTTCCCTTATCCCCCATCCATTTCTGTCTAATTTCTTCGCAACGCTTTGTTTGATCCGCTACTGATTTCTCTTTCTCCAATGCTTCACATTTTCTTTTGAGCCGTGCTTCTTTTTTACATTTTTTCTGCAATTCAGCCTCTAGCTTTTTCTTGCGTTGAGCATCGAATTTTTTTTTGCGCTCAGCCTCCTCGCACTTTCGTTCCTGTTCAGCTTTCTCGCACTTCCTTCTCATCTCAGCTTCCTCGCATTTTCGTTTTTGCTCAGCTTCCTCGCATTTTCGTTTTTGCTCAGCTTCCTCGCATTTTCGTTTTCGATCTGCTTCCTCGCATTTTCGTTTTTGCTCAGCTTCCTCGCATTTTCGTTTTTGCTCTGCTTCCTCGCATTTTCGTTCCTGTTCAGCTTTCTTGCACTTCCTTCTCATCTCAGCTTCCTCACACTTTCTTTTTTCCTCGGCTTCCTTGACTCTTCTTTTGTGCTCAGCCTCATCGCGAAGTGTTCTTTGTGCGGCTTCTTTGCGCCTTCTTTGCTGCTCAGCTTCTCGGCTTTTTCTATTTGCGCTCTCTCGCTCGGCACACTGCATCTTCAGCTCTCTGTTCATACATTTTTCCTTCAGACGCTTTTCGTATTTCCGTTTAAGTTTCTCGCATTGCTTTATTATACTCTTAATCTCAGTGACAATTGCGTTATCCGTTTCGGCTCCATCGTGTTCCGTAGCGTCATTTCTCTGTTCCTTACATGATTTATTCAGTTCTTTTGTCTTTTTTCTTTCTGCCATCTTTTTACATTTGTTCAATAATAATAGCTCCTGGCATTGCTTTTTAAGCATTTCCTCGGCGCATTTCTTTTTGATTGCCACTTCTGCTATGCATTTCTTTTTCATCTCTTCCTCTTGTTTCTTCCTTTTTAGACTCTGCTCTTCGCACTTTCGCTTTAGTAGTTCAGCTTTACATTTTTGCAACATTTGTTTGATGCAGGCTCTCTCCGAATCAGTTTGTGCACCTTTCTGCCTCTGCTCTAACTCTTTGCACCGCTTTTTCTCTTCCTTTAACGCTTGCATTCTACACTTTTTTAGTAGCTCTTCGACAAAATCGTTTGCGTCGGTTTTTCCCCCACCATCAGAATCAAGGTGCTCTTCATCCTCGCAAACGTTTTCTTGGACCGACTGCACTTCTTTACAAATTAATTCTAGACAATGTTTTTTCAACCTTTCTTCTTCTGCTTTTTTTGCAGCCTCTTCGCACTTTTGATGCATTTCCAAAGCTTCACACTCTCGCTTAATCCTTTCCGCCGCCTCCAATTTTTCACATTGCTCGATCCATAGCTTTTCCCTGCAATACTCTCTGACCTCATTCTCCAGCTGCTGCATTTCGCAATCTGCCCTTTGTCTGTCCATTTCATTCATTGATGCCATTGATTTTTGCAGACATGCATGTTTGGTTTTTTTCAACTCCTCTTCCATGCATTTTTGGAGCTTTGCCTCCGCTTCGCACTTATTCATTTGCGTAATGCACTCATAAATTTTCTTGTGAGAGTGCTTCCTTGAGTGCTTTTGGCTTCGGTTATCCTCCGGGGGCATTGGAGCTGGGCTGCTTAGGCAGGCACACATGCAGCTTTTGCGTACCGTCTCACATTGAGGAGAGATTTGCCTCGAATCTTGGCAACTTGCGGAGGCCACCGATTGGCCTAACTTGGCTTGGGAAATCATTCGATCATGATTTCGTTGTCGATTGCGCTTTTGCATCTCTTTAGCATATTGAGTCACCTTGTCCAGCAGCTCCATTTGACGATTGGTGTATTGCATGTAGCTTTGCTTAGCCTGACTTGATCCTAACAGTTTGTTCCACTTTCGCAGGCGTTTGCGTTCCTCCTTGAAGCGCTCACTTGGCTCACTTGGTTTCAGCTGACGGCTCCATTGTTCTGAGGAGCACTTCTTGATGTCTTTAAACAATTTTTCCCTTCCATCACAGGTGTGTGACTGGTTGTCTTCAGTTGGCTGACCTTGTCCTAGCTTATTTCCCACTGCTTTAGTTTTTTCTACGAGCATGTTAATAAATCCAGTGAATCTATTGCTTTCTTCTGTGCTGCTGCCAAAATTTGGGCTTTTTGTTGGCCCAGTCTGTGAGGAATCTACAGTGGTGGAAGCAGGTGGCTTGATTGATTGGGGTGCTTCCACTGAGCATTTCGGCAATGAATAGGAACATGGCGCCTCATATTTTTCAACAGTGGGGCAGCACTCGGATGGATAACATGGTCGAAGTGTGGGCTTATCTAGCTTCGATTCAGGTCCACAAGGTAGCTTCGGTCGGTCTGCATATTGGAAGCCTTGAATAGCTTCTACTCTGGGAACTTGACGCATATTATGATAGTCGAAAGGTTCGTCGCAAAGGTGGATCTTCGGCTTCTTCTTTTTCGAATTCGGCTTTCGATTTGGATGATGGATCGGGTCGCATTCTGGCAAAGGCTCAACAGTACACAGTGTCTTATCTTTATCTTTGCTGCTTTTTAATTTAATATCCTTACTGCTTTCTTCACTATTTCCAAGCTTTTGGGTTTTATCGCGCAACATATCGAGCATACTTTCGATAAGACTTTTGAGGTTCTGCAGGGTTTTCTTCTCGGGATAAGCCTCCACATCAACTGAGTATGATTTTGATTCCGACTCTGGAACTCTGGGGCACTCCGGCATTTCATATTCGTCACAAACTGGTGGGTCGTTTTCGATCTTTGGGCACTGCTCCGTCGGCGATGAGCATGGAGCAGGTCGAAATATTGGCTTTGGAGTCTTCGGCCCACAAGTCATCTTGGGTCTCTGCGGACATGTTGGATAGGGTCTTGCCTCAATTCTGGGATGAAAACGTTCTTGATGCGGATTGCAGCGGGCATCACATGGATGAAGCTTTGGGTGGCATTTTTTTGGCTTCGGCTTCGGGCATTCAGCAGATGGCTTAGACTTAGGAGGCTTACAACATGTATTAGGCTTTGAATGTGACTTTTCCAATGATTTCTTGGCGGTTTGATGTTTTGGAACTCTGCAACTATTTTGCGAATCTTCTTCGAGTTCAGGTTCTGCACAGGGACCGGGACGAAACAATGGTTTTGGAGGTTTCGGACCACATGTCATTTTAGGTCTTTGTGGACATGTTGGAAACGGTCTTGCCTCTATTCTGGGATTGTATCGATCTGGATGCGGATTGCAGCGAGCGTCGCATGGATGAAGTTTTTGCTTGCATTTTTGAGGCTTTGGTTTTGGACACTTGGGCTCAGGCTTCCGAACAGGACAATCAAGATTGCTTTGGTGCGAAACTATTTTTTTCGATTTTTTAGGACTGTGAAAACTATGTTTAATGTCTTCAAATTCACATCCGGGTCGAAATGTTGTGGAAGGTGGTTGTGGCCCACATGACAATTTTTGTTTTCGTAAGCAATCTGGTGCCGGTTTCGCTTTGATCCTGGGGTGAAATCGTTCAGGATACGGTTCTTCGCAAACGTCCTGATATGCTTGTGGGTGACATTTTTTAGTCAATTTTTGGTTTGCTGGAGGTGTCGATTTTGAAATACTCGAAGCTCGTTCTCTCGTTTCCCGTGAATCTCTGAATTCAGATCCTACGCATGGCTCGGACCGAAATATTGGAGGAGGCGCTCTTGGCCCACATGACATTTTTGGCTTAGGGAAACAATCTGGTGGGGATTTGGCTTTTATCCTAGGAAACGAGCGCTTAGGGTTGGACCCCTCGCAAACATCCTGGTAGGGTTGAGGGTGACATTTTTGTCCTCTTTTTTCTATTGGAGGTTCCCAATTAGAAAACTTTGCAACGTGCTCGCCCATTCTTTGGGGAAGCAAATGACAGTTTTTGTGTCTCTGTATAGGCCGTAGAGTGTGATCTTCAGCGTAGAATGGATGTGTTGCAGGAGTCTGTGGACTATCATTATTTTGCGAGCACGAAAGTACATGCATGTTCGGCTGCGAAGTGTCCTGATCATTTGCCATTTGTGGGCTTAAGTGTCTGTCGCTTGAGACCGGCAGATAGTTATGTTCATAGTCGTAGTCCTCAATACATTCATGTGATGCACATTGCTCTGCTTGAGCCCTTTGATCAAGATAATTGTCCGAATGCTGTACTATTTCAAGCTCTGACGGATCGTTTTCATAATCTTCGTCACAATTTGTAGCTAATCCTGTGTCAATTTTTCCATAAACAATACCCGTTTTGTGCGGCTCTTCTTCGGTTTCTTTTTTCGGCGGCTCTATAATAAGCGGTGGATAGGATCGCCATGCATTTTCTTTCATTTTATTCAGAGTTGCGGTGGCATTTCCGTATTCGTTCAGAGCGTGCAAAAGGTTTGCACACTGCCTTTCACATTCCTGTGTTATTTCCCCCAACTCAAATAGTTCGTGCTCCTCGATTTTGCCGATTTCGTTGACTCTAGAAGGTTCAAATAAAGGACTGGCAGACCCATGTCCGGGCTGCGGCTGTATGAACGACTGTTGTTGATTTTGTTGTTGTTGTTGTTGTTGTTGGTGTTCTTGTCTCAGCTGCAACTCGCGCTGTTTTTTCTGCTGTACATTGTACTCGGAACATGGTGTGACTGCCTCGGGACCAGAGCGTTTCTTGATGACGCGACCGCATCCAGCTTGTGCGTAGCAGCGCCCTGGCCCACTAAGCAGGCGCTGTAGTTGCTCGCAGATACAAACGCGCCACATGTTTGGCGCATAATTTGGAAATCTGGAATGCCAAAAGGGATATATGCCAAAAGAATTGGGACAAATATCTAAATACTGCGAATTTTCAAAAAGTGACCTTTTATTTCCAAAATTTAAATATTGATAAGAAACTCCAGACGCCTGCCGTTTGCCATGGATTACAACTTAATGCCATTTTGGGCTTCCACCAACGCAGCTACCGACTTTTTCAGCATCTTTTTTTCCCATTTGGACAACTTCAATCGCATAATGCCAGCGAGACCCCATCTGCTCACTCGGCATGGTAGAGAAAGGTATACCTCGTCCTTAATGTCGCATATGCCTTGCACATTTGTTGACAGCGAGATAATGCGATTGCTGTTCTCAAAAATAGCCGAAACAATATCAGCCACAGACAATCCGATCGCCCAATTGGTGTAGCCCTTCACTGCAATCACATCAAAAGCCGCCTTCACCACATCCTCGTGCACCTTTCCCCACTGCAATGGATCATCTTTGGTGCCTATGGAAGGCAAGACTGCATGTAATTGAATGCCACCCACAGTAAGCGTAGACCACAGGGGCACAGAACTACCGCCATGTTCGCCAATAACATAGCCATGAACCGACCTTGGCGACACTTTCAAGCGTTGAGCTATGAAGTACCGGAAACGTAAAGAGTCTAAGTGGCATCCGGCGCTGAAGCAGCGCTCGTACGGCAGACAGGAGACCTTTTGCGCTACCCAGGCCATAACGTCTGCAGGATTAGACACAATTATATAAACAGCATCAGGACTGTGCTCAAGCAATTCTGGCATTACAGACTTTATAATATCCGCCGTTTTTTGAGCCACATCCAAACGCGTTTCGTTCTTCTTTGGTCGAGCACCAGCTGTTACGACAATTACTCTTGATTTGTTAGTTACATCAATAGCAGAGCAAGCATCGATATGGGCATTATTCAGAAGCAGAGATCCGTGCATTAGGTCCATACGTTCAGCATTGCACCATTTATCGTTCAGATCATAAAATGCCATGCGATTGGTGACTCCTTTCGCCAGCATCGCAATGGCACAGGCCATGCCAACAGCTCCGGTGCCTACAATTGAGACCTTTTTTCCCGCATGGACATTTTGTTCGTTTAGTGGTTTGTAAAGGCAGTTTCGGAATACTTGAAGATCTTTGATATTTTCTTTGTTTTCATTTTTATTCTTTTTGGAGCAAGTCTCTTTAATTTTACTCTCAGCGCTGGATTTGTCCTTGCAAGGTTCTTTTTTATTCTTCTCACACTTTTTTGGTTTTGGACAAGGGTCCTCCTTCTTACATTTATTTTTGGGCTTTCCTTTATTCTTTTTCAGAGAGCAGTGTCCAGCCTCCTCACACATTTTTCTTTTCACTTTCTTTTCGCAATTTTTCTTAATTTGTTCATTAATACAAAGGCGTAGCTCATTGAACTCCTTGCGCTCTTCTTCGTTCAAATGCTCCAAAGCTTCACAGATTTTTTGCATTTGCTTGTCAATGCATTTTTGCACTTTCCGCTGAAATCTGCTTGGCGTTTTTTCATTATCAATCAAAGCTCTACATCCTGGTTCTGCTTTCTTCTCGGGACAGGGAGATTTTATTTTCTGGGGGACGCCTACACATTTTTCCATAAGTTCCATGATGAAACATTTCTGTTTTAATGCCTCCTCCTCACACTTTTTCTGGAGCTCCTCTTCTTTGGCTCTTTGCTCGCACAGTTTTTTTAATGCATTTTCTTTGCATTTTTTCTTTTGCGCCGCCTCTTCGCATTTTTTCTTAAGTGCCGCTTCTTCGCACTTTTTCTTTTGAGCCTCCTCTTCGCATTTTTTCTTTAATGCAGCTTCTTCGCACTTTTTCTTTTGTGCCGCTTCCTCGCACTTTTTCTTTTGAGCCTCCTCCTCGCATTTTTTTTTTAATGCAGCTTCTTCGCATTTTTTCTTTTGAGCCTCTTCCTCGCACTTTCTCCTCTGAGCTTCTTCCTCGCATTTTTTCTTCAAAACAGCCTCCTCGCACTTTTTCTTTTGAGCTGCTTCTTCGCATTTTTTTCGCCGCTCCTTTTCTTCAAATTTTTTCTTTCGAGCTTCTTCACACTTTTTCTTTCGTTGTGCTTCCTCGCACTTCTTTTGGGCCTCTTCGCACTTTTTCCGACGCGCCTCTTCTTCACGCTTTTTCTTTCGTTGTGCTTCTTCGCACTTTCTTCTTTGAGCCTCTTCTTCGCATTTTTTCTTTAATGCCGCTTCCTCGCACTTTTTCCTTTGGGCCTCTTCGCACTTTTTCCGACGCGCCTCTTCTTCACGCTTTTTCTTTCGTTGTGCTTCTTCGCACTTTCTTCTTTGAGCCTCTTCTTCGCATTTTTTCATTAAAGCCTCTTCCTCGCACTTTTTCCTTTGGGCCTCTTCTTCGCACTTTTTCTTTTGTGCCTCTTCTTCACACTTTTTCTTTCGTTGTGCTTCCTCGCACTTTCTCCTTTGAGCCTCTTCTTCGCATTTTTTCTTTTGAGCCTCCTCCTCACACTTCTTTCTTTGAGCCTCTTCCTCGCATTTTTTCTTTTGAGCTTCCTCCTCACACTTTTTCTTTTGAGCTTCCTCCTCGCACTTTTTCTTTTGAGCTTCCTCCGCACACTTTTTCTTTTGAGCCTCCTCCTCACACTTTTTCTTTTGAGCCTCTTCCTCACATTTTTTCTTTTGCTCCTCTTCCTCACACTTTTTCTTTAAAGCTCTTTCTTTTCTTCTTTTCTCTGCACAGCCTCCAGCCTCTTCACACATTTTTTTGATCACCTGCTTTTTGCAATATTTTTTAACTCGGTCATCAATACAACTAGTCATTTCCTTAAATTCTTTGAGTTCATCGTCCGTTAACATTTCCATGGCCTTGCAGATTTTTTTCATTTCATTATCAGCGCATTTTTGAAGTTTTATTTGAAACTTCGTTTTAGGCTCTCCACCATCAGCTAGAGCTTTACAACCTGCTTCCTTTTTCTTTCCAGGACATGGTGCTTTCACTTTCGGAGGCACACCTTTGCATTCTTTCATAAGGCACTCAACAAGTTGTCTTTGTTTATTAACGTCCTCTTCACATTTTTTTTTTATAGCTTCTTCTTCACATTTTTCTTGTTGCGGATCAGACTTTTCTCCCTTTTCTGCCTTTTTCACACACATTTTGATTGACGCGTCCTTTACACACTTGTTCTTTCTTTGTGATAACCTTGCTTCCCTTTCTTGTGCTGCTCTTTCGCATTTCTTTTTTAAAGCCTTTTCCCTACATTTTTTTTTCTCGGCCCTTATTGCACATTTTTTGATCATCGCTTCTCTCTGGGCCTTTTTTCTTTTTTCTTTCTTTTCGTTTTCCTCACGCTGCTTTTTTAGACCTTCTTCACTTTCCTGTTTTTTACGAAATTTGGTGCATGGATCTCCACATTTCGTTTTCTTTGACTGCTCATTCTTCTTTGGCTCTTTCTTCTCTTCACATTTCGATTTACAAAACCTGTTAAATATTTTCTCCCTGCATTGTTTTTTCATCTCGTTGACCAAACATTCAAACAAACTCTCAGTTTTCTTTTTCTCTTTCTTATCCATACATTGTATATCTTTGCATAATTCTTTTGATTTACCTTCAACACACTTTTTTATTTCTTTTTCGATGGTTTTGCTTTTATCATTTTTGTCATCACTAAACTTTCTTGTGTGTAGAGGTGCGAATGATGTAACCGGTAAGCCAACTCTATATAGTAAATTGGATCGAACAAACGGGTTATTTAGCTGCATCAGTAGACAGCCACTGCAGCGTCGGAGCGGCATACTGGATAGTTTCTAGAACTGGGAATTTGGTGCGGAAGGTAAAAAAGAAATTTGTTTTTGTGATCTTACATATCCAAAAATAATTTTGATACTAAATAGAAGGGTTACTCAGCTGGCATGTGAAGTACATATATACTTATAATGCTAAAAGCGATATACAAAATAAAAGCCGCATGTCCCGTCTGCGGGAAGCAATCACATACATTTTTAATAGAACTGTATCCAACACTAAGCAAAATTAAAATAAAATTGTTAAGCTGTGAAGGGAATATGTGTTTCAACCAAAGCATGTACTTTTGCTTGAGAATTAATAATAAAGTCAATAACCATCCAACTGATCTAGGCAAAGTATTCAAAAACATATGAGAAATGGTTTGTTTAGTATTAATTTTTATTATGAATCCAAAAAAAATGTTGTCAGAAACTTATATTTTCCAATTGCTCTATCTGTGCTTTACAGTACTGTTTGTTGCCTTTTTTTCATCTTCCTCACACAATTTCCTTAGAGCCGCTTCTGTGCACTTTTTCTTTAGTGACTCTTCCTTACACTTTTTCTCCATATTCTATTTGATTACTGTTTTGCTATCTCTGTACTTTCGCATGTGTGGAGATTAAAAGATGTGACTTTCTTTGTCGATCTTTCACTTTTTAACATGCACATGCTTAGCTGTTTTATTTGTTCTTCTGCTCGTTCTTGCATTTTTGCTCTTTTCCTCATTTTTATTTCTTTTTGGGGGCTCCTCCGCACTTGTTCTTTTTAGCCGCTTCTTCGCACTTTTTCTTTTGAGCCGCTTCCTCGCACTTTTTCTTTAGAGCCGCTTCCTTGCACTTTTTCTTTTGAGCCTCTTCTTTGCATTTTTTCTTTTGCGCTTCTTTCTCGCACTTTTTCTTTTGAGCCGCTTCCTTGCACTTTTTCTTTAGAGCCTCTTCTTTGCATTTCTTCTTTTGAGCTGCTTTTTCCATACACTTCTTGATTTCTTTCTTGTCATCACTGAACATTCGTGTATTCAGAGATGCGAATGATGTAGCTGGTAAACCAACTCTATGAACTAGATTGGACCGCACAAATGGATTATTGAGCTGCCTTATTAGATAAGCAGTACATTTGCGCAACGACATCGTGGATAGTTTCTAGAACTGGGAATTTTGTCCGAAAGGCAACCAAAATTTTATTGTGTGTGCTTTTTAACAACCAAAATCAATTTTGATACTAAAGAATATGGTTACTTAGCTGACATAGGAAATATACATTCATGTTCATGATATTCGAAGTGGAAGCCAGAAGTTCCATAGGAATACTTTATAAAAAAGAAGCAGCAATGGATGGAAAAATAAAGAATATTGACTAACTACTTCGACTAATTTGAATACATTAAATACATATATATACATATGGATTTATTATTTATAATTTTCTTCATAAAACAATACAAATGTTTTATCAAAAACTTTTCTTTTTTCCATTTGCTTTGTTAATCTTTCAACTGGTTAATCTGCTTCTGCTTTGAAATATTACTTTTTCTTGTGCTCTTCCTCACAATTTTTCTTTAATGCCGCTTCCTCGCACTTTTTCTTTTGTGCCTCTTCCTCACATTTTTTCTTTTGAGCCTCTTCGCATTTTTTCTTTAATGCCGCTTCCTCGCATTTTTTCTTTTGAACTTGTTTTTCACATTTTATTTTCTGAGCCTCCTCCTCACACCTATTCTTTTGAGCCTCTTCCTCACATTTTTTCTTTAGGGCCTCCTTCTCGCACTTTTTCTTTTGAGCCTCTTCTTCACATTTTTTCTTTAACGCCTCTTCTTCACACTTTTTTTTTCTTTGTGCTTCCTCAAACCGTTTCTTTAGTGCCGCTTCTTCGCGCTTTTGTTTTTTTGCTTCTTCCTCACACTTTTTCTTTAGAGCCTCTTCCTCGCACTTTTTCTTTTCAGCCTCTTCCTCGCACCTTTTCTTCAGTGCAGCTTCTTCGCATTTTTGTTTTCGAGCCCTTTCCTCGCACTTTTTCTTTAGTGCAGCTTCTTCGCGCTTCTTCTTTAAAGCCTCTTTTTCGCATTTTTTCTTGAGTGCTTCTTCTTCGCACTTTTTCTTTTGAACTTCTTCTTCGCATTTTTTCCTAATCGCCTCTTCTTCACACTTTTTCTTTAGGGCCTCTTCCTCACATTTTTTCTTTAACGCCTCTTCCTCGCACTTCTTCTTTTGTGCCGCTTCAATCTGTTTTTTGCAGAAATTTTTAATTTGCTCATCAATACAGGTCCCCATTTTCTTAAAATCTTTAAGTTCTTCTTCAGTCAATAATACAATGGCGGTAGTAACCTTTTCCTTCTCTTTATCAGTGCATTTCTTCAATTCTTGCTCAAACTTTTTCTTCTCCTCAGCTTCAGCAGGATCGTCACAACTTCCTTCTTTCTTTTCCCCAGAAGAGAGTACCTTTTCTTTCAAAGGAGCACCTCTGCACTCGTCCATAAGGCGCTCAATAAGTTCTCTTTGTTTATTCACCTCTTCCTTGCATTTCTTTTTTAAAGCTTCGTGTTCACATTTTTCTTTTTCCGGATCAGATTTTTGCTTTTTGTTTTTTGCCTTTTCTTCACACATTTTTTTAAGTGCTTCTTCCTCGCACTTTTCAATTTGTTCTGCTAACTTCTCATCTTTCTCTTGCGCTTCTTTTTTGCATTTCCTTTGCAAAGATGCTTCCTGGCATTTTTTCTTTTGCGCCTCCACTGCACATTTTTTCATCATTGCATCTCTTTCGTCCTTTTCTTTTTGAGCCTTTTCCGCACACTTTCTTTTCAGCGCCTCTTCCTTACTCTCTGGTTTTGGCTTCTTTCGAAATTTGGCACAGGGGTCTCCACATTTATTTTTTGTGGTCTCCTCATTTTGCTTTGGCTCTTTCTTGACCTTCTTCTTCTTACAAAACTTACTCAATATGAGCTCGTTGCACTGCTTGTTCATCTCATTTAGCAAACATTCAAACAAGTTTTCAGCTTTTTTTTTATCTTTCTTATCCATCTGTTCCATCTCCTTACACAAGTCTTTCAGCTTACGTTCAATGCACTTTTTGATTTCTCTTTCGATCATTTTACTTTTGTCTTGTTTGTCATCACTGAACTTTCTTGTTTGTGGAGGCGCGAATGAAATAGTTGGTAAGCGAAATCTGTATAGAAAATTTGATCGCAAGAACGGATTATGAAGCTGTCGGATTAGACAGCCAGTACATTTTAGCAAAGGCATTCTGGCTAGTGTCTGGAACTCTGAATTTTGTCCGGAAGGCAACCAAAAATTTAGTTTTGTGTGCTTTTAAAAATTCAAAAAGAATTTTGATACTAAAGAGTATGGTTACTTCGCTAGCCTGTGAATTATACAAATGAGTGAAATGCAGCAAATTCCTATTTGAAGTGAAGAAAGGACACATTGGTTTATAATCACACACAAATTTTAATTTTAAGAATTAGTCTAAAACTGGTAGTATCCTTTCGAACTTCCCTAGCGGACTGCTAGGTAATGGGAAATGACATGCGCTAGAGTTTAATGCCTTTTTGAGCTTCCACCAACGCAGCTACCGACTTTTTCAGCATCTTTTTTTCCCATTTGGACAACTTCAATCGCATAATGCCAGCGAGACCCCATCTGCTCACTCGGCATGGTAGAGAAAGGTATACCTCGTCCTTAATGTCGCATATGCCTTGCACATTTGTTGACAGCGAGATAATGCGATTGCTGTTCTCAAAAATAGCCGAAACAATATCAGCCACAGACAATCCGATCGCCCAATTGGTGTAGCCCTTCACTGCAATCACATCAAAAGCCGCCTTCACCACATCCTCGTGCACCTTTCCCCACTGCAATGGATCATCTTTGGTGCCTATGGAAGGCAAGACTGCATGTAATTGAATGCCACCCACAGTAAGCGTAGACCACAGGGGCACAGAACTACCGCCATGTTCGCCAATAACATAGCCATGAACCGACCTTGGCGACACTTTTAAACGTTGGGCTATAAAGTAACGGAAACGTAAAGAGTCTAAGTGGCATCCGGCGCTGAAGCAGCGCTCGTATGGTAATTTGGAGACCTTTTGGGCTACCCAAGCCATTACATCCGCAGGATTCGAGACAATGATAAATACGGCATTCGGGCTATGCTTGACCAGCTCCGGCATTATATTTTTCATAATATCAGCCGTTTTTTGTGCCACATCCAAACGCGTTTCGTTCTTTTTTGGTCGAGCGCCTGCTGTTACGACAATTACTCTGGATTTCTCAGTCACCTGAGGAGTGGAACACGCATTGATCTGTGCATTGTTCAGAAGCAATGAGCCATGCATCAGATCCATGCGTTCGGCATTGCACCACTTCTCGTTGACATCAAAGAAGGACATGCGATTGGTGACACCCTTCGCAAGTATTGCAATGGCACAGGCCATGCCGACAGCGCCTGTGCCCACAATTGATACCTTCCTTCCAGAGTGGATCTTCTGTTCGTTGTTGGATTTGTAGAGGCATTCTTGAAATGATTTAAGAGCTTCGTTGTCTTCTTTGCCACCCCTTTTCTCCTCCTTCTTGGCGCAAGGATCCTTGCTTTTACCACTAAGCGTTCGCAGCTGGATGCAAACGAATGCAGTTGTCGGTACGCCTTTAATGCTTAGGGAATTAGGATGGACTATTAGGTTAGTCAACGGCGTCAAGGCGCGGTGGGAGAAACGTGGCAATGGCATAATTGTAAGATTCGAAAGGAAGATTAAAATTTTGTAATTTTTAATAATTTTGATTGAAATAAAAATGGAAGACAAACGTTGAAAGTTTAGGAACCTTGACAACTTAAAACAAGAAAGGGATGCTAAAGTCGAGCAGGCTCAACTCTTAAATACCCTGTACCACCCCACAAAAAAAGAAATTTAATTAATTTAATTTAATTCATCAAGAATATATATACTTTGTGGGGTCTACCACGCCTCCTTCTGTGTGTTCCATATACACTCGCACAAAACTAATATACCCTTATCCCCTTTGGGTACAGGGTATAAAAATATAGACAAATATATAAATAAATAGATGTCTAGACATCGATCTTCCTTAAGAGTATTAATTAAGTAACTATTCGTGATATATCTAATTCAAATGGTTGCACTGCAGTTCTATTAAAGCTGAATCGTTGCCACAATAGCAAGGAAACACTCATCGGGGCCCAATGAAGGCAGCACCAAATACACAACAGAACAACAATTTTGTCAAACATAGAATCGGGCACAACTTAATTAAATGTTAAAAGAACAGCCGCAATTCTGAGGTGTTAATGGGTTAAGTTCCCCTGAACCCCTAAGACTTGCCCCGTTTGTGAGTCTAAGTGCTTCTGGCACAAGACGTTGACAGCAGCGACAGACGTTAACTTCATTTTCGAGACTGTGTCGCCTTCGTGCCGCTTTTTTGGGGAAGGAGCACAAAATTAGCAAAGCTGTCAACTGTCAGTGGTTTTTGCATGAGTGTATGTGTGTGTGCTTGTATGTGTGTTTATTTGTGTATGAACGCACTCCTGAATGGGCGCTATAATGTACACTCGCACAAATAAAGTTAAATTCTGGGCTCTAATGTTTTTTAAAGCAAAGTGAAAATAGCAGACAAATAATTGCTACCAGAAAACTTAACTTAATTGCACCAATTTTTCCTATAGCAGCTATTTAATAAAAACTTCCAATTTAAAAAAACTCAATACTCATTTGTTTTACAAAATCATAATAAAATAGACGTTTATTTTACTACGAGTGATTTTTCAACCGATCGCTTTTTCATGGCAGCTATACTACTTGTATATGACATAGAGCACTGACTTCGATGAGACACTAAACGAAACTTACAAGTAATTAATTTAGAAATTATAAGAAAGAATTTATTCCAAAGTGAACCGATTTTGAACCAACCGTTATTATATAAAATAATAAGACTTTACGTGTATAGGGTTCGTTCTAAACTTGATCTGCACATGAATAAGATAAGTCTGCATACCAATTACTATGTTCCTAGCTGTTTCGGTTTTATATTTCTCGATGTTCATACAAACGAACACACATATCTACATCGAAATTTGAAAGCTTAGTCCACTTAATTCGATCAATCGTAAGAGAGATATTTACAAATGTTAATAGGGAAAGGTCTTCAATATCTATCTGTATCGAAATTTGGAAGCTTAATCCAATTAATTAGAAATCAAATCGTAAAAGAGATGTTTGTATAATGTAAATAGGGAAAGATCTTCACATCATATAATTAGTAATAATAAAAATCTAGAAAAAGTACACAAGTATAAGTTAAGTTCAAATACATACATATTACGACACTGAAAAATGAATGGGTAGCCATCTGACGTATGTATGTTGTTCTGGTGTGTTGAAAAAGTATGTCCATTAAAGACTACTTTAAAGATATCAGAGTTATGTTCTTCATGTTCTCTGCGCAAGTTTTTATGAGTGTACCTGTTACTTTCATGCCAGACAATTATCTACGGCAGTGTTTCTACTGCGCTCTCAACACCTTGACGCTCTGCAAGTTTGTGCATGTACAGGAACATTTTGCGCGTGAGTTCACACACACACACACACACACATGCACTCACACGTTATCTATGGGTGTGTCAGCTTGAGTTATGGCTTGTCTACTTCCGCACCATGCGTCGAGTGCCTTGTGTGTGTGTGTGTGTTTAGGAACGCGTTGTTTGTAATTTGTTAATTTCCCGCATTTAGAAATTAATTTTCACTTCATGCGCCGCCAAACATACAACAGAGGCAGCAGTAGCAACAGTAACAACAACAACAACAACAACAGCAATGACAAGTAACTTGCCAGGCTACCTACCTGTTTATAATTTAACATTTTCATCAGACATAGACACCCCCACACATACACACACACACACACACACACGCTGTCAGCAAGTGTATACCACAAACCCAAACTTCGAAACTTGTGCCGCAATTATGTCTAATGGCTGTACTGCCTACTAAGATTCTCCCGTTTTCTTCCCTCCCTTTTCACTCTTCTTCCTGACCCACTCTTTGAAGCATTTTCTATTTAAATTCTTTTATGTTGTCATTAATTTCTGCATGTTACCGTTCTTCTCGTCGCTGTTGTTGCCTTCAATTGTGCTCTTAATTTTTTAAGTGAAAACCGGCAAGTGTCTGACGTCCTCTCAAATATTCATACATACTCGTAGGTATATATGCATGTATGTGTGCATATACATGTGTGTTTAACACGTTTATATAGTAATTGTGCACATGTATAAAATTTTCATGTTCATGTTGTTGTTTTCATTTGCTGATGGTGTTACTGTTGTTGTTGTTGTTGTTGCTGCTGTTGCTGTTACCTCATATTTGCGTTCTGCTTCTGCATTTTCGTTGTTTACGTCGTTAAACTTTAATTGCTTTATTATGTTGTGCTTAAAAGTACGCTGGCGGCAACGCAGCCTCACAAAATCGTAGCCTACATTTCTGCGTTTACTGTAATGAATGATGCGCCGACTGTACTCGGGCTTTAATGTTCGAATAAAAAAAAGTACGCAAAACAAAAGCATTTAATCAACACACACTCCCTGCACATTCTCAATGACAAATGGCGTTGTGTTCAGGGTTTGAGTTCGTGGTGCCAGCTAAATGACAAACTATTGTTCTAATTGAAAAAAAAACATCGTGTTAAATAATACAAGTCGCCTAGAAGGCACCATAATGATGTATGAAAAGCGAAAAAATAGAAGCACAGCTGTGGGCGTTTGACTTACCCGCGAGGGGAGTTTCGTATGAAATCAAATGACAACTAGTCCGAAAGCTTATAAATCTTAAAGTAGCAGATTTTTGCGATACGAATTTAGCTTTGCACAAAATCTCTGAAAAACTACAGGGTGCGCCATTGTAGTTTATTTATTCAATCCACTTTAGTTAAAGGGAGTGAGTTGCTAAATTGATAAACCCCCACCTAATTTGTTTTACTTTTTTCAGGGGTTTCATAAAATATTTTATTCTTTTCCATATTCATTTTAGTATTATTATTACAACAGCTTCTATAAATGTGAAAAAAAGCAATTAAATTAAAACAAATGACAGGGATGATTAATAATTAAACACTAGAGATGTCTATTGGGGAGATCAATGTTGCGCGATCCACATAATCTTGGAATTGACGGTTGATGACATTGCAATATTACTAGCAAATTAATAATTGTACATCGAAAGAAAAAATTAACTATCCGTCTGATATTATTTAAAA